GCTCCTCTCCAGCCCGCACCTGTCCTTCAGCCTTTCTCCAGGCTATTCTGCATCCCCACAAGCTGACCCGTACCCTTCAGGCACCTCGGCCCCGGCCTTGGCCCCCTTTTTTGGGGGGAGAGCATCCCTAATCAGCGTTGGGGATGTTCACCCGAGTTCACAGCATCACCGCTCAAATCTTCTGCCGGGGCCCGAGCGCCAAAGAACTGTTATTCATTTCTAAAGAATTGTTATTCATTTTGTCATTAAATTCTTTAATTATCTTTTCTGCGTCTGAGTTTATCCAGATTGAAATACCTTTATCTTGTTTTTTTTTTCTGTCCTTCCTTTATTTTCTCTGTCCCTGAAGGATAAATCTTTTTTGCCATATTGTTTTGCCAACTTCCACAGGAACCTTGGAGGTTTGGATGCGCACTGCACATTGAAGCTCATATTACTGTTGAAGCATGACCTAACATGGCCACCAGGGGGCGCTCAAGAGGAATTTATAATTTTTTTTTTTCTTTTTGTCCATATGAAGGATTTTTACATACATAATCAAATATATATTGTAAAAATATATATATGCAACTTTATAATGAAATTGTGTGTTTTGTTAATATAGCCACAAAGAAATCATCACATAAAACATAAAAAATCAGTTCCACTTAGGGGAAACTTACTGGCTCTGGAACCCTATGCGGCTGCCTAGTTTGCTTTGCCTTGGGCCGGCCCAGAATGTCATGCAATATTTTAAACCATGATGTCTTAGGGTGCATTCACACCTCCCTGTTCAGTCCACTTTGATCATTCATTTGTCTAGAGAGTCAGATTCATTTGGGGAGTGTGAATGCAAATTTGAATTCCAAAATAGACTAAACAAAGCGAACTCTGAAGTGCCTACAAACCTAGGTCTCGGTCCGGTTGAAGAGAGCTCTGATGTGGTCAGAAGGCAGTGAGAATGCAAACGGATCAGAGGTCAGTTATCATGGCAATGGGTCTGCGTGCCATCACAGAGAGCGAGGAAATGCAGAATATACATTTAAAGCTGTTTATCAGCTTGTTTTCCCTTTGATGTGACATACTGCAGCTGCTATAATTTTTAAACCTTTAATAAATGACAAAAACTGGGCTAATTTCCTTGTTTGTTTGAACATATATTTATAACAATCAAATATGACATATTTCATAAAGTACGAGACATGGTTTGTTACATTTTGACAAACTAATTTTAACAGCGGCAATTATGTAATATTAAATTGACCGATATAAAAGAGCAAATTACTTATTCCTCTCTTGCATCTTGACAGAGACCAAACTGTTTATAGATTTAAATCCAGGGAGAATACATATTTCTTCTTCAAAACATCAGAAATATTCTCAGCTTTAATTTAAGCCATATTTCTAGAAATTAGGTAAAAAAATAAGGATGTTACAATAAGGGCTGTTGGAGGGGGGGCCTCAAAGTTGAACAAGATCTTAAAACACCATAACAACATAGCAACAACCCATATTTATCAATAATCTAAAATTTAGTCAGATTATACTATATTATTGTCATCATGTGGGAGCAATGCAAAGCAAATTTAGTATAATGTTTCTGTTTCTGTTGACGACAGAAAGCTGTGTTGATCTGAGACTGTAGTTTTTAATCAGACCGTCAGAGAAAAGGTCGCTGGTCATTAAGTATGTTATGAAATAAGCAAATTTGCTGCTATTTTAATAAATAAGCCCTACTACTTCTGCTTAGCCTCTATAACAACTTGTCTGCAGACTGCTTTAAAAATAAAAAAAAAAGCTCAAAAGGACTAACTCTACATAAATTTCTGATGTTAGCACCTCTGAGATCTAGAATTGTAAGACAGATGTATCAAAGCAAAGAAAACTCAGTAGCTGCTGTTAGGGCCCCCCAGACCTTCAGGGGCCTCTATAAATGGTTGAATTGTAACACAGACCATACATCTAAACCTGTAGCATTCATTTATAGAGAATGACAATGTTATTACATTTTATTTAATGCATTCAGCAGAGAAAACAAAATAAATAAAAAATAAATCGTACATTTAAGATTTAATTAGGAAGTTTACTTTGTAAAAGTGCAAAGAATCATCTGGATAGTTTGATTATTGTGACACCATGGCTACAATATGGTGTAATCTCTGTTTGAGCTGGGTTTCTTCACAAATACATTACAGCAAATAATAACCAATAATCAGTGATTGATTTAAAACTCAGCCAATTGTCACAGACTTCATCTACATTTAAACACTGTTAGTGATGCTGATGTTCTTAGTAGGAGGTGGTTGGTGGGGGCTAAATCATGATTCTGTCTAAGGCCCCTTATCATCTTGGGCCGGCCCTGCATGAACAGCGAGCCGCATCTCTGTGCTGAAATCTACCTGGAATCCCCCGGTGCCAACTTTGCATTAAAATGTCATTGTTTACAAAATAATACAACGATGACACTTTTTATGGACTTTCAGTGCAACTTCTAGAGTAACTTTGCATTAAGTGTCATTATTTACCGAATGACACTTCATGACAGCAGTCAGACATTCATAAAGACTCCTTCATGTTTATGACATTCTCATGTCAGTCTTATGCACACCCTGTCAAATAAAGTGTTATCAAATTTTATTTTATTTTTTTTACATAATTTGAACTAACCAGAAAGCATAATCTTTCATCATTCATAGATAAGAATTACAAATATTTTTAAAACCTCTCTTGTCAGTTATTGGAATAACTTTTCTCATAAATATGTGGTTGTTTTGACAAGAAATACAAATCTCATCAGGCACGTGCTTCTCAGCATAATACCCCTGTGCAACCTGGCGTCTGCACTGCTGTGACAGGCAGCCTCAGAAAATGAAAGGAGGGGTAAGGAGATATGTTTGTTTTTTCCGTATCACAACTGTTGTCTGTGGGAGTTTCAGCCAGCCTTGCTCCCTCAGTGACACGAGTTGTACAACACTTGCTGGCCACATACAGAATATATATATATATATATATAGTTTGTTTACTGCCTTTCTAGTCATACTGACCACACACTGCATGCGGTAAATAAACTTCCAAATGTATTGTTCAATAAATGCACACGAGAACATCATGAGGATTAGGAGGATAAAGAACATATTGGGGAAAGGGATCTTTGAAGAAAGAGATGAAAAAGTAAAGCTTGTCTAAACTACTCAGTTTACAGTTGTGAAAAATTAAAGGAGACAGACAAAATGTCAGAGGAAAATTAGCTAAAACAGAGGCAACCAGATAACTACTGCTAACCATTATATTAGTACTTTCAGAAACAAAGCATAAACTTGCACACACATTTCTTGTTGTTTAAGCTAAACACCAAACTGAAGGTGTTATTTTTGACAATTTATTTCTAAAAATAATGCATTGATTACATAACACAATCACCTCATCCTAATTTGAAGACATACATAGAGTACTTACACAGGACTATTGTCCAAAGAGTGACGATCGACCAACATCTCTGGGAGAAAATCCAATTTAAAAGAGGTCATAACGGTAAAATCGTTTCTTTGTCTTCCTTTTTTACACAAGGGAGCTGCACAGTTCCAGGGATGATTAGTAAACAATTTATCCCTGCTTGTATGCCTCTGGGGACTTAGAGGTTAAGGTTACCAGGCTTTAGTTCAGTGGCTCGAAGTTTGATGGGGTGCTAAAGTGATTTTGGCAAATAAATAAATCAATGCTTGTATCAAAAAGATCCACTTAAAAAATCCATCTAATAGATGTATCAGATGTTCGAAATGCCAAAAATGACAGCTGTGTGGATGCTGGGAAAAACCCCCATGAAAACTGAGAGACACTGGAACAGCAAGGGCGAGACAGAATAATGGGCCATGTGCCCACCACAACTAATGTGCTGATGGTTCATATTCTTTGTGTGACAGAGCAGCTAAATCTGCTGGCCTCAGAGAAAAGTACTAAGAGTGTCAAACTGATGGTGATAAGGCTGACTGGGCAAATGGAATGAACAGGGAAGCAATGTTGCTTTATAGTCAGCAACCAATTCCTGAATAGGTGTGAGCATCCTTGTATATTATCTATTCAGAATACATATCACAATCACATTTTAGAAAAATGTTAAGTCACAGAATTTTTCTTTTTTCTTGGGCTGGTATCAAAGTGCTGTCTAAACCAGGTGGAGATACCGCTGCCCTCCAAAGTCACTGCTTCCTTTATTTGTTTTTTTGACCTCTCCAAGTATTTGTCTGAAGCTCTTCTGTTCTTCCTTTTCTACTGACAAACTGTCCTTCAGCTGGTTTACTGGAAGTGTTCGTTTTGACTGTCTGATTCAAGTAACCGTTATGGAAGTCAGCTGCTGTCAGTCGTTTGTTCAGAAGAACTGTCCTAAAGGCCACCCAACCATCCTGAAAAATAAAACAAATATATGTTAAATTATAAACAGCTATAGTTTTATTCATTACTTTGTTTTGAGCTATATAAAAGAAAAAAAAGGCATCTCTACATCACAACACATTGAGTCATCAAATTCATGTTTTACAGTAATACTGTATTTAGACATACAGAAGAATGCATTTAGCTCAAATGGAGTGGGAAGAAGACAAACATATTTATACACATATATATAT